ACCGGCACCGTGACAATTACAACTAACTGACTGAACCACCAAGATCGTCGCGCTGGACAAACGATCGCCATCACGTCTTATTGATCTCGGTCAGAAATAAATCTCGGAAAACCTTTGGTTCCGTAACCGTAACAACCTAATAAAGTCTACTGCTGAACATAGGCCTCCCCCTTAGATCGCCCCATAGGAAGGAAATTGGCCATAGTTACCTCGGATATTGGCCTCAGTTGCCACGCTTGGCAGTCGGGTTGGCAATCGCAGTTTTAAACTTTTTTAAAGCTATTTGGCAGCTGCCCATTTTATGGTTTGTTTCCCTCTATTGCCTCTTACGACACCCACGGGACGATGTGTGGTAGTGGGTATGCTTACACCGCCACTACATGGTCAATAACCGTTTACGCTAGGCGTAAAATACCCAGACCGGGATAGGTATAGAGGCAGTACTTACCCAGATGGACACCTAAAAAGGAAATCCTACAAAACCTCAAACAATTCCTTTCCTTACAGCCTTCCCAGTGGCAGAGTACAGAAAAATAATGGCAGCCACACAGTCAAATGCACCCATACCCACGGAAAGTCACCGACTCGGCATACTGCGGTGTTATAAAGACCCAACCCACTTCACCGAAAAGCCTCCCACAGTCCGGCCGACCATTAATCCTCCTAGTCCAGTCCATACTGGAGTTACTCCCAAAACACTGCAAGTCTGGTTTGGGGAGTATCCCGGCAGAACAGAGTATATGGACACCTACAGTGCTGCAGCCAAGGCTTGTTGGCGGTCTATGCAGAGATATAAGGAGCCCTTGCCTTCAACAAGAAGGCGATCTGACGATGCTTGCTTGTGATGTTTATGTTATGTGGATTTTGGAAACTAATTTGTATTGGGCATGTAACTCACACGAATGTAACTGTTCCTTCTACAATTAATTTTGTATTTCAAATAAAAAATCACTATAATTTCTTCAAAGGTGGAGATAAAAGAAGAAATTCGTTGTTTTATTTGAGTTTTCCCTAATAGAGTCGGGTGTTGCTTTACGAAAATCCTATATACAAAGGTAAGAAAACTAATTTATTAAGATATGGGTGTATGAATAAATAATAAATAGAATCAGGTGTTACTTTGCGGAAATCTATTATATTAAAGTTGGTAAGAATTACTTCGCACACATCTGCTAAATAAAATAAAATGATGTGTCTTACCTAGTTTAAAGCACCTCCGGCTCTCCCTAAATTGCGTGCATTAATTCCGTCACTATTAATCCCATCACCACTAATCCCAGCACCACTACTCCCATCACTACTACACTAGAAAAGACACACCATCAACGATAATACATTGTGGTGAAGGGAATAGTGCATGCATTGAGGGAGGGCGGGAGGTGGTGCTCTTCTAGCTAGGTAGGACACATCATTTTATATCATTTTATATATGCAAGAGTCATGCAGGTTGTCGAAATCACAAAAATCAACCCATAATTAATGCTTTTTTTTTTGTAAAAACAAACTATTAAGGTCGTCAAATAAAATTGACTCTTTATTACAGTTGTAAAATATTATCATGACATTGATGTTCGACAGAAAACTAGCGCCATTCCATATCAGTAGTCATGCCGTGTCCTTGCCCGCTAAAAAGTGATGATCTGTAAAATTAAAAATATAGGTTGTTATTCAAATCGAGTTTCTCTCTCTCTCTCTCTCTCTCTTAGCACTAAATGACAATAGAAAGAGATAGGTATATAGATAATTAATAATTAATTTAAGAAAGCAGTAATCAAACGATTTTAAGTAAACTAAACCACCTCTTTACTCTCTCACCTTATTAAATTCAATTTGGGGAATAACATTTTTTTAATGAAAATGATCAGACGTATAGATCAATTTGTAGAAAATAATTTACAGTTTATTTCCATGAATTGCTTTTTTATTATGTTAGTGACAGTTGAGCTAATAATCCAGCCATTGGTAAGTAACTACTGTAATCTATAGATGGACGACGAAGAAGATCATTAATGTCCCCTAATGATAAAGAAACGCCTTACAGCCCCTATAATTACAATTTACTCTTTTATCCATCAAACTAGCAGTGAGTTCCCCGATGCACGGACTGCAGAAATATCATTCATAAAATTAGAATGTCTTTTTTTAACCCAGTCGGACTCATAAGCAGAAAAGAATCCCCAGCGCGCAGTTATGTTATCGTTACTGTTACCGTTGCAGCCTATTAGTCCACTGCTGAACATAGGCCTCCCCCATAGATTGCCTCACAGGGGGGATAGTTGCAACACTTGGAAAACGGATTGGCAACCACGGTTTTTTATTTTTATTTACACGGATGCTGCTGCCCATCTCCTGATTTGTTTCCCCTCTGTCGCATCTTACGACACCCACGGGATGATATCGGGTAGTGGATATTCTTATTTTAATTTTCAGTAAACTTATTTTTTTTAATTTTCAGTAAATGTTGGTGGCGAGTGATTAATGATCACGGAATATTAAAATTAATATTACAGTGATTTTTAAGATGTGTTAAGGATATAGAACGACGAGTGAATGCAGGAAATAAAGTAAATGGGGCTCTACACTCTATTGTGAAAAGTCAGAATGTGTCAAAAAGGCACGTATGGCAATTCACAATGCTGTATTAGTCCTTACTTTAACGTATGGTAGTGAAAGTTGGGTTTGGCAGTAGAAGCACGAGAGTTGAATAAATGCAGTAGAAATGCGGTCGCTAAAAAGTATGTTCGGGCTGAATCTGGGTGACAGGGTGAGAAATTGTGTAATAAGAGAAAAGTGTGGTTTGCAAGATGATACTTTGATCAGGATTATGAAAGGAATGCTTCGGTGGTTTGGTCATGTAGAAAGAATGAATGAGGAAAGACTGACAAAGCAAATATGATGTTGCAGTTAAGTGAATGAAAGAGCCGGAAAGGTACGTCCTAGGCGAAAGTTTATCGACCAAATTGGCGATATATTAAAAATGGGCCAAATTAAGGGTGTTTAACCTTAACCGACGAGCATGTATGCGTAGGTATATGGATGTGAAGGAGGCGCAAGAGGTATGTCAGGATCGTGCTAAATGGAAGTCTGTAGTCTCTGCCTACCCTTCTGGGTGACAGGCGTGAGCGTTTATGTGTTTGTTGTCTATTCTTTACAAAGTAGAACATCTAAGAACTCAATTTTTTTCGTATTTAGTGATTCCATGAGAGGAGAAAAGGTGATATAAGTTTTTTTTTATAGGATAAGGTGACTAACCAGCACACAGTCCACCTGATAGTAAGAGGTAGCTGTGGCCCATCTACATCTATACTCGATTACGAATCAAAATGCAGATGCGTTGTCACCCGTGAGGACTAAGATGGAATGCCTCGTTTCCAGTAAAAGGGTCTCACACTCACCATATGAAACACAGTAGTATTAAGCTACTATTTTATGCTGGTATTCTGTGAGCATGCGCTCACGCACGCTCATAACGCCAGCATGGCTCAACCACGTTATATATTTTATTTATTTATTTGATCACTATAAGTAATACACACACTAGCTATGCTAGGTTCTACAGGTGATGCTATAGTCAAATTATTAACAAATTCTTTATTAATGGATCAAAATAAATTATACACAATATACATAGATGCTGGTATTGTTGTTAAATTGATGATTTTGTTTTGTTCTATAATATAGTATAAGTTACTTTATATTGGTAAATGCTGTGCTAACCTGTAAATAGTGAGACATTTACTTTGTATTATTACTGACTGATTAATTTTAGTGTACTCACTGTTGGTCAGCTAAATAAAATAAATAACCAAATGTATTGGCTAAGTGCGAAAAAAAAGAAAATCGTATTATGGACTAGATAGGTAATGGTATCGAGCTATTAATAAATTTTATATACTGGAAATAGCATAACAACGTCTTGTGAGTCAGCAAGTATTGCTTACAATAAATAAACAACATTGGCTAATGTCTTTTGGCTGATTTTGACTTTACGGATATTGTCTTTCTTCTTTTCTTTCCTAAAGCTATCAAAACCTATTTTAGAGATATGATTGGAACCAACAATTAATGTTCTTGTACTGAGATTAGCCGTGGTTGCTTAGGAGATATATAGCCCCCTGGCCTTAAAATTATATAGTACGCCAGCAAACCAGGTTCGATTCCCATCGGCACGAACAAAGTAGTTAATTACTATTTTAAGTGCCATTTAACCACATACTCAGACGCTAAAGGGAAATACTGAGAGTTAAGTACATTGCGTGGAAACCCAACACTATAATAATAGGAAACATATCATTGTTAATATTAATAATACAACTCGCGTTTCGGTTCTTAACAAGGTATCATCAGGAGAATTATAAAATAATTATGTGTAATATTAAATTAGTACATAGTAGAGCCATGCTGCAGTTATATTCGTAGAATAGTTGTAACACGAATGGTCAGTTCGACCGGGGAAAGACCACGCTCTCACAGAATACAAGCCACACAACTTTCATATGGTGAGTGTAGAGAATCGGGGACCCTTTTTACTGGAAACGAGACATTCCATCTTAGTCCTCATGGGTGACAGCGCATCTGCATTTTGATTCTTAATCGAGGGTAGATGTAGATGTCTATGGGCTACAGCAACTACTTACCATCAGGTGAACTATGTGCTCGTATGTCACACCCAACCTATCAAATAAAAAGTTAATTAGATGTAAATCTTCAATTACAAAGTAAGATATTAATAAGTAAGCAGCGTCCGCCTGTAACTCTCGAAACAGAGTCCAAAGAGCAGCGAGCTACTCGGATCCAGTTCGACAATGTTCGTCGTTTATATGGAAATTTTTAGAAGAGGCAATATGTGGCTAGAACATCACGAATTCAATATCCTATTAGTTGCCTCTTACAACATGTTAGGGAGGTAACACGGTTGGCACATTCTTTTTGTTAGAATTCCCAGAAAAACATGGACCGATAAGTCCCAGACTAACATGGGACCAGACAATGAATAAAACTTACCTGAACAAACCAGTTATTATATTCCATAAAGCTGGTACTAAGTAGGGAGTATAATTGTCCAGAATAAACGTCAAAAAGCCCATTACCAACTGCAATATGTTTAGAATGGATGACATTGCTGAACTTCGTCGTGGCACTGGTATTATATTTGTCATTTTCTTTAATATCCGTATGAATGTTATTCCTCCAATACAGTCTTTTATAGAATTTTCGTGTGATGTGCTTAGTGCGCCATTTTCTAGTGACGTAATTTTTTCTTCAGGTTCATATGGCTCATGGTGATCTCGTAGTTTTCTTACAGGCTGCATTGTACAAGCTTTTATTAACGTTGTTTCCAAAACTCCAATAACGTATAGTATTAAAATGAAATTCTGAAAAAGTACATTTGTTTACTAAATATTTATTATCAGTAAAGTTCATCGAGGGAAGAGACCTGGTACCCACGAGCCTTAATAATGATATAAGATGTCAATTATAACAACTACTGTTTGTGACATAATGTCATTACATTAATATCATCACCGTAGCCCATCAAATTTCAACTGCTTAACATCAAGCCTACTCTATAGAATTTTTAATAGCACAAAACCACCTGAATGCAAATGAATAATGTGACATATCTCCGTCTACCCTCTTGGTAGAGCCACGCTGCAGCTATATTGTGGTTTTAACACGAATGGGTTGGTTCGACTCTACACTCAAGCACGGTAATATTATCTATAAATATTACCGTGACTCAAGATACGAAATATAAGCTGCTATTTTTCGCCGGTATTTTGTGAGAGCGTTGTCTTACCTCGTTTAGCCGACTTATTCGCGACATATACACAAAATACGGTCTTGAGCTACCTGTATCTATCAACTACCTGCTTGTTCATCAAGTCGTCCCTATATAGAGACGGCATCGCCTAATTCTGCGCTTGCCAGTACGAGATTGCCACTCAAGAGCTTGTCCTGTGTTTACGAGTATTGCCATCGTATTGTTTGCCACTAATTATTTTTTACATCTTGTCAGGTGTAAAAATAATTAGTGAATGGAATGCGTTACGGATTTGTCCGTAACATAAAACTTAAATGGCATCTGTTATGGTATATATTTGAGAACATTACTCTCTAAATCGTTCAACATTACTGTAAATTAAAAGAAATAATTAGTGAAATAATTACATTTCACTCGAAATCGTTTTAGCCTTTAGAGGCTAGTCGACGTAGACACCATCTCTATTTCTGTCGGTGAACGTCTAGGTTTCACCGACATATTTATATGTTCATATATACAATTTTTTTGTTTTGTGGTATGGAAGTTGGCGACCTGTCACTGAAAAACCTCGAATGTCTGCTGGACGGACAAGGCCCGATGGAGGCGAACTTTGTCCAACTTTGTCACGAATTTCACTTTAACACTCACTGTACAAATGATGCTTTGTTTTTTTTTTTAGGTTAGGTTTGTTTAAATGATTATATCAGATTTTCTCCCCTAGCTCTCAAGGTATATGGCCCACGTAGTCTTCGTTGAGGTCTTCTTTATTTGGTGTTGACTGTAGGTATGCATTAACTGACTGGAGTTGCAGGGGTGCAGGTGTCTATGGATTCATTGCATGATGATCCATAGCCTCTTCGTCACTTTCCTTACGGAGCTCTCGTGTCCCGTCTCACATCCAGACTATCACGTGTTCAAGTGGTCAGATTGGCTATGACGCTTTGGGTCCCGGGTTCAATACCGAAGAGAAACCAACCAACAGTATTTTAAGTCTGGTCGTGTAGTGATTCATTCTGTATTTCTGACACTTGCATCCTGGCTAGTCTACATCCGATCTTATTGCTTGTATACGTTACAGTGGGCATAGATAGGTCAGAATTCGCAAAAAGTCAGTGACTTTGTGTCAACATGTACACTTGGGGCACTATAATACCTTCTGCATAGTTGATAAACTAGAGCATGGTGCTCTATTATTATAAAAATAGGTACATTAATATAAATAGAAACTCACCGTAAAGCTATACATTTTAGACACGTAGCGATGGACTTTGTGTTTTTAATTTTGTATATCCACATTTAATACAAAATCTATTTAAATACCCGACGCACTTCTACCGAATACACAAAATATAATGAATCACAAATCGTTATAGTCTTAAAACTTTGCGCAATAATTATCTAATTTAAAAACGACTTAATGTTAATTACTTTTCATTAGATATTTTTAATTATTTCACCTTATAAATGACAACATACTAAAATGTTGGAAATGTGTTATGTAAGAAGTTAAGTAAAACCTGAATTAAGTATAATGAATAAAGAGAACTATAGTTCTAAATGTTAACCATTGCTCTCAAAAATAATTTTTCATAATGTTACAGTGTCGCTGCGTGGTGTCGTAAGAGTAACAGAGGGAAACATCATCAGATACTTGGAGATCGGGAGCAGCGTCTTCTAAACTTGGTGATTATGGCAGCCCCCTTGTGAGGCAATCTTTGAGAAGGCCTATGTTCAGCAGTGGATTTTCTAATGTTGTCATTAAACTAATGATGATGATGAATGTTAAGAGTCACAGTCAAGCTAATGGTAAGTGGTTCTTGCAGCCCAGAGATTGTAGATTACAAATACCTACTGTGGCCGTGAAGGAAAAGGGGAGATCTCCCGCCGGGCAAGGTGTTCTGCCCGGGGAGCGGCCAACACTCCGTGTGATAGTTCGGAGATGTTCTATATATACTGTTTATGATTCGGAATGTTGATAGCGTGAATTAAGCTTCGGTGTATTTCGCTTGTGGCGCGACGACAGCGCCGCCACGTCACCCCCCTGCTCAGACCGGAGGTCGATAGTGCAGCCTCGTTGCCGACGAATGTGCAAGTGCCAGGAGATTGCCTTGTAGTCTGCGGTGAGTCGAGAAGAAGGCAAGTAATCTGCGAGAGTGCCGTGAAGCAGAGGCGAGCAGTAAGGCTCAGAGCCGTGCCGAACACTGTATGGCGCAGAGAGTAGCTTGAAGGAACAGGAAGCATTATTATTCCAGTGCTGCGATTAACCTTGTGAAGCTAGATGGCTTGCAGGATATGAAGACTGCAGACGATATCTGCTCGGGAGCGAATGGGTGGGGTACTCTATGACGATGATGAAGCTTGAAGTTTCCGAAGGTTGTTGGTTGCGTGTTCAGATCACGTCGGGGTCACCACTGTGGCCGTGAAGGAAAAGGGGGATTCAAATATATAAATAGTGCTTTACCGTTATTGCAGTTTTTGAAAATACGAGTAAATAAGTCTTCTTAATTTATTTGAAATTATCCCTAATTGATTGTGATTTATGGGTAACAACGTTTTTACCTACCGATGGACCCTTACGTTATGAATGTGTGCGTGCGCCGTAAAATCAGTTAAAATAATACGTTACCACCATTGATATAAGAAAAAAACTATTTTTATTACTTCTTATTTACTTCTTCTTATTTATAGATATATATATGATTACGCGTTTTGAAATTAAAGGATGAAAAGGACAGAATGTTTGAGGTTTTGTTTGTTGTCTGTCTTTTGAATTTCAAATTCGCGTCAATGAATTCCAGTTGGGTTAAGCTGCTTTTCTATGTGATCATGACTTAATGGTGATAATGATTTCTTATATTTACGCGAATACTACACATTGAAATAATACTAGTTTTTACGGAATTTATCGCTTATATTTAACTTTTTAAATACCCGACGTTTCTAGAGCTTTACAGCACCCATGGTCACGGGGGACTGAGATGTTCAACTTCCAGATGTCATAGTTAACATCGGTTACCATAGATTAATTTATAACCTTTGTTCCGATCTACACAGTATGAACTTACAGTATCTTGAAGCCTTGCAGTTGTATGCTTGGGTTGAGATTTAATTTTATTTATTATAGGATCCCAAGCAGATGGTAGCACCCAGCCATCTTCTCTATTGACATTAGGATGTTTTTTGATTTCAATAGCCTCGCGAATCATCCTTGGAAGGAATCGGTGTTCTTTAGAGAGGGTTTGTGGTCTATCAAATCTGATGTAGTGACGAGGGCGATCCTGTACGTGTTCACGGACTGCAGACTTCCCGGAGCGTCGATTCTTCACATCAGCTATATGTTCTTTAACACGGGTTTTAATTGATCTTTTAGTTTGTCCTATGTAGGAGAGACCACACCACACTCACAATCAAGCTTGTCTCCTGCATCTTACAGAGGGAGTTGACTGATGGTAAAAACTGACCAATCTTTTTCGGCGGCTTGAAGTATGTTTTGTTGGAAGCGCGCTTCAAGATGTAGCCAATCTTGTCAGTGACTCCTCTAACATATGGCAGTACAGCAGGTACACGTTAGCCTGTGGCCGGCTTCACTCGTTCACTGTGACGTAGGCGCGGGACACGAAGCTTGTTGTCATGCAAAACTTGCTTGACATGGTGGAGCTCGGCAGCCAGGTGTTTACTGTCACAGATCCCTCGTGCTCTCTGAAACAAAGATTTACCCACGGTAGCTAGCTGTGAAGGATGGTGGTGAGAATCACCGTTTAAATATATATCTGTATGGGTCTTTTTTCTATATACAGTATGGCTCAAGGTGTTATCAGGATTCCGAATTACTAACACATCTAGAAAAGCTAAAAAATTGTTTGCCTCTAACTCCATTATGAACCGAATTTTAGAATTTATAGATGGTCTAATAATGCAATTACTTTATCTAAAGGTAGAATTGAGAATGTGTCGTCTACGTACCGCTTGTAGAATCTTGGATTTATGGGAGAAGTAAGCAGGGCTTTCTCCTCAAAGTCTTCCATGAATATGTCGACGACAAAAGGGAGATACAGGTGAGCCCATCGCCACACCATCTACTTGCTTGTAGAACTCCTCCTTCCACAATAGGTAGCCAGATGTAAGGCAGTGTCTGAGTAATACTGCATATTCTACGGGCATTTTGTTTTCTTCCTGCCTTTTAGTTACAATTGAGATGCAGTCTTCAACAGGTAAGCATGTAAACAATGACTGCACATCAAAACTGACCATAGTTTCATTGTCTGCCAGATGTAGGTCTTTAATCTCGCTGACAAAATGGTAGGAATCCTTTGTGTGTGCTCTTGTATGTCCCCTGAGCGGTGAGAGTATTTTCGCTAAGTGTTGAGCCAATCTGTAAATTGGTGAATCGATTTGGCTCACTATGGGACGTAATGGAGAATTGGGCTTGTGTATTTTTGGTAACCCATACAACTTTGGTGATTTGGCGCACGTAGGTATTATCCATTTTACGTCCAGATTTAATTTAATCTTCCCAAAGACGAATTTATAGCGTTAAAGAACCTATGCAATAAACCAGAACTCACGATTCTCCGCGCAGATAAGGGAAACGCCACGGTAGTCATGGATACGTCAGATTATAATTCTAAAATACAAGAACTTTTGTCGGATGTAAGTACTTATAAAAAAACGACCCAACAAATAGCACACTAAAAACAACTAGTGACCTCATAAGGAAACACTCCGAAAAATTAAATCTGGACGTAAAATGGATAATACCTACGTGCGCCAAATCATCAAAGTTGTATGGGTTACCAAAAATACACATAACATAACACACAACATCTGTTTTTTTTTAAATAAAAGTAAAGGCATGCAATATATTTTATAAAAAATATATAAATAAATGGTCTTTGATTATTTAAAATCTAACTAACGCCAAATTGATAGAACCTATACAGGCGAAGTTGGGAAGAGTGGCTAGTCTGCAATATGTGTACTGAATCTGTACTTTTTTATATAGGATAGAGTGACAAACGAGCACTCACTCCATCTTATGGTAAGTGGTTGCTGCGGCCCATAGACATCTACATCTATCCTAGATTACAAATCAAAATGCAGATGCGTTGTCACCCGTGAGGACTAAGATGGAATAACTCTTTTCCAGTGAAACGGGTCTCCGGTTCTCTACACTCACCATACGAAACACAGCAGCATTAAGCTACTGTTTCACGCTGGTATTCTGTGAGAGACTCTGTACTTTCAGATAGCTTAATCCGTCTCTGTTTATGTTGTGTATGTTTATGCAAATGATTAAATCATGCTCACATAAAAAAGCAGCTTAACCCAACTGGACTTCATTGACGCGGATTAGAAATTCGAAAGACAGACAACAAACAAAATCTCTAACATTCTGTCTTTTATATCCTTTAATTTCAAAATGCGTGGTAATCATACATATAAGAAAAATAGTTTTTTTCTTATTTATCAATGGTGGTAATGTATTATTTTAACTGATTATACGGCGCACGCACACATTCTTAACGGTCGATCGTTAGGTAAAAACGTTGTTACCCATAAATCATAACCAATTTGGGATAATTTCAAATAAATGTAGAAGCTTTATTTACCGGTATTTTCAAAAACTGCAATAACGGTATATCGTTATTTATATAGTTGAACTTAAGTTTAAAATTTCGCTACTCTTTGGTTACTCTCCAGGGGTTTTTGATCCTTAAACTTAGAGTAGGTATTTGTAATCTACAATCTCTGGGCTGCAAGAACCACTTACCATTAGCTTGACTGTGACTCTTAACATTCATCATCATCATTAGTTTAATGACAACATTAGAAAGTCCACTGCTGAACATAGGCCTTCTCAAAGATTGCCTCACAAGGGGGCTGCCATAGTCGTCAAGTTTAGAAGACGCTGCTGCCGATCTCCAAGTATCTGATGATGATTCCCTCTGTCGCTCTTACGACACCACGCAGCGACACTGCAACATTATGAAAAATTGTTTTTGAGAGCAATGGTGTAGCGATAGCACTGAGAAGTTAGGTAGTTCTCTTAATTCATAATACTTAATATAGGTCTTACTAAACTTCTTACATAACACATTTCCAACATTTTAGTGAGTCATTTATAAATATAAATGCAGTTGGGTTTTACTGTCCAGAAATTCGCTGTAACAGCCCGGAGTCAGAATTAGCGGTGTTTCACCCCGTGCCTGGGAAAGCATGTAAGTCCGTTGGTCCTGCGTCTGATCGTATCGGATTGCCATCACTTACCCCCACTTTTATATCTCGAGGTCCGATGGAGTCGATGGCATCGGACCTCGAGATATAAGAGTGAGGGCATAGAGAGTGCACATGTTTGTGTGCAGTATAATCATGTCCTGCGCAGAAGATCCTGCCGTGACCGAAATTCGGTCTGGAGGACATTATTAATACTTGTTGTCATGTTCTATGATCAGAAGTTACCAAATACCATTAGGTGATGCACTTTGTTTGCTTTTTAACACAACAGCAGATATGTTACTTACGGGAATATTCAGAAATAAATTTACAATTAATTTTAAAATAATTGTCATTACAGATATAAATAAAACAATAAGTAAGTCAATTTATAAAAAAGAGTTTGCATAGTTATGTCGGAAATATTTTGTCTTCGTAATTTATTTTCATATTTAAACACTTTTCGTACTGACAATGTTAATGTTATGTACTAAATAATAATTACAAAAAATAGATTTAAGTATATATCACACTTATATTTTCCAATATTTTCATTGTCTTATTCCTGTAAGAAAAATAATTTTGAAATATTTTTGTTTATTCGAATCTAAAATACATTTTAAAGGTACCTAGTTGTTATTTTACAAATTATCATATTGTCTGTTATCGCAATTTGGGTCGTATCATAAATATGTCGTAATAAGGTAACTGTATTTTCTGTAGTCTTCTGAGATTTGTCTTGTAAGATTTGATATTTTCTTTTCATTGGTTATTATTTCTTCTCTTAGATCCAGTTTTTCCCTAGCACGAGTAGTCGTTGCGGTTGGTCTTTGAGTGGGTATAATGAAACTGTTGACTCCATGACATAAGGTTATAAAGCAAAGGTATAGGATGACCTGAAAATAAAATTAAGCTTATTACAGACTGATAGATAGGATTTAGTTTATTCACGCTTGACACGAAACCTTAGATTGCTAGAACCCTAGCACATTATATGGGAGGTTTGGAATTTTGATCCGTATCTATCGTACGTTCATCGCTTCATTATATACCAAATATAAGCACATTATACTATAGTATTGTATCATGGAATGAGCGACTGTTTGAGATTCGTGGAAAAGTATCATGACTGTGTATAAGACGACCCAAAATAATGGCATCCAGTCGAGTGAGCACTTTTAAGACTCGTCTGTTTTTATTTTGGACATACATATTTAATTCTGTAATGAAAGTTAGTACCATTACCGTACTAAAGTGTATTCCATATACTAATAAATATTAGTATCTAAAATAATAATATATGAATATTATTTATGATATATATAATAAAAATAAGTTGATTATTGGTTTGCAAACCAATTAGCGTTAATTGGTAATTAAATAATTGAACAGCCATTTAATGTCCAAGCGCTATATTTAACCACATATACATATTATGATATTGATATGTCCGACCTCACTCAGACCTGCAAAAAAGACAGACGAAGCGATGCGTAGATTGTTACGTAAACACCAAGAAAAAATCATGCCCAACTTATCGTTATCGTTGAAACAAGTACTCATATACAACATGTAACAAAAACCCTGTGGTTCCCGTTAAGTGTGTTATCAGAATCAGTATCCAAGCGTGTAGAAATGATTTTTTTTTTTCAAAAAAACTTTTTAATCGAAAAAAAAAATTAGTTTGCAAATTGTATGTGGTTTTATTTCTTATAACTACACACGAGTATCGGTAATGCGGGGTCTTTGACAATCGTCTTACTCCTCGGCCAATGCGAGATAATAAAATCACATACAATTTGCAAATAATTTTTTTTTTCATTAAAGTTTTTAAATGTTTTTTTGAAAAAAAAAATTTCTATATGCTTGGATACTGATTCTGATAACGCAGCTTTAACGGGAACCACAGGGTTTTTGTTACATGTTGTATATAAAAAACAAATTGCAGCCAACACCATGGTTTTATGTGTAGTGAACTTTTACAAGCGTAATGAAAGAAGGAAGATGTGTAGGTGAGTGCATGTTAAGAAGCCGAATATAGTATCAGCGTCACTTCCACTGTGCAGGTGTACAGTGCTCCGTCTATCTTATTTTCTTGGTGTGTCTGTCGCAGTCAAATGGTTTAATCAGCCGGTTAATTGAACGGCTGAGCGGCTTAATTAAAAGCCGGCGTTTAGTAGCCCCAAGAGAGTTTAGTCAAATCGGCAGCAGCAGAAAGAGATAGTAAATATAAGTTGTGTTAAATACACAATAAACAAACAGTATAATAATAAAATACTTATGGCAACATAAAACCAAAACTTATAGTCCCATCGTATTGAGATCAGGTCTGTACATAGGCTCTTTAGCACTTCAGCTTTTATAAAGTCAGGGTCATTGATTTCCACCCAGGTTTGAGTTGAACGTACCTAATGAGTCACAAAGTACTTAAAACTCAAGTCATTTGACTTCTTGATGGGACAATCCCCACCAAATCATGATTGACGCAGAATGATGACCACCATGAAATTTTCCAACAAGTTGCTATGCTTCTTTAGAGCTGTTAGAATGTACTTGGTCACTTTGCTTGTTGCAGTGCTCTTCAATCTATACATGTCAGGTCTTGTTTTATAATTTGTCATAGGGTCTTTATGGGAATACTTTATAACCAGTAAGATCCTAGGAGGCCTATTAAAACTGACTCCCTTTTGAGGATTATCCTCCCATATTTTATGGTCTTCGACAGAGGACTTGTTTGTACGCTATACTCTCAGACGATAATGCGTTATACAAACAGACGGCTGGGTTTTGAAGCATCTTAAAATGACTATGACGCCATAGTGTAAGTTAACAATCATGGTGAAAATATTATCTACGTGGAATGGCGGCAAATCGATAATTATTTAACTTTTTAAATTTGAATTAGAAAGGAACTTCATTATTTGTAATATTATTTATGGCCAGACTTAATATAGTATCAGTGATTAGGCTATATAGGTTCTTTGAGGTATTATAAAGTGAAAAGAAAACAAGGGAAAAGACGAGTATTATATGTGTAATATGTATTTATCGTTTGAATGGTGAGAAAATGATATTAGTAAAAATTTTAAATAGTTTATTTTTCTTTGTAACCTTGATTATCCATTTCCTCAACTACACACACTACAGCAATGTTATTGTTACCACAAGCAATTATTTATTCTGTGCCACAAGGCACAAGGTGATAAAATTAACGTTACATGTAGATGTATGTTTTATATTATTGTTAATAGGGTTATTTTGATTATGTATATAATGTATCACAATTAAAATATTTTCTATTAAGTGTTGTAAACTTTTGGTTTCTTTAAAAACAAGTTGTTGGAAACTATCAATGTATCTTCGGGGAATTTTACTTACACAAATTAAAAAAAAAGTGCAAACACCTAAGAATATACCTTAATTTGTCAAAATTACCGCAGCCAAGACAAACAGCTACAGGGCTCTCAAAACTTCCATTATTTTATTTTTTATGGTCATGCGTTTTTATGCCGAGGTAAAAAGTAAAAACCTTTTATTAGGCAGAGATCTACTGGTAATACAACAATAATTTGGGTGAAGTATTTTGGTAGTATTAAAAGTAAGTGTTCAAGAAGAGTTTAAGCAAATATTTAATGAATTTATTTATATAAATTTTAGAAAACTCAAAAGGTATTAGCGAAACACTTTGTTAACTTTACCTTATTTAAAAAAAAATTGTACCCCAGGTAAGATGGCACCTTACCAAGACATCAGGTAAAATTGTAACGAGGTAAAACCGTTGGTTTAGGTGTTGTCAAAAGAATAATTTATTATGCGAAAAGGTAAAGTTATATTAAATTTACTACTAAATACATAGATAAATACTCATACTATTTGGGTTTGATGAAAAATATTTCTTTTATTATAAAACATGTTTAAGAGTAGATAACTTAAAAATCCTAAGTAATATTATCTAAAATAAATAAGACTATGAACAGATTGGTCATGTGTGTTTTTTATAGAAGTAAGGGAGCCAAACAAGAAGATATTCCACTTGGTAGGTGGATCCTTTGATCCATAGACACTAACGTTTATCATCGTTCAAGAATCAAAGTGAAAGTGTGTTGTCACCCCTAAGGACTAAGGTTGAATGCATCGTTTCCAGTAATATGGGTCTCCGGTTGTCAACAGTCACCCAGTCACCACACGAAACAGTAGTACTATGCTGTTGATTTTCGTTGGCATTCTGTGAGTGCGTGGTCCTTCCCTGGCTGAGCAATTCGTGCGGCAGCAATAATATAGCTGCAGATTGACTCTACCAGGTACGAAGATTGCAAGTGTGCCTCAAAGCGCAAAAAGTATCATACGAGTAATCGCTGTTAAAATTAAGTTGGATGAATGACTAATAACAAACGGGAGCGGACAATGCAAAATACCTAATGTATGTAATGCGTCAGAAAACGGGATGTAGGTAAAGTTTGATAAAGATAAAATTAAAAAAATCGAACATGCTTATTTATTAATTTATCAAATTCGATATTTATAGTTGCTTTAGACGTGACGTATTTTGTTTATGTAATTCTTCAGAAAACGGGACGTAGGTAAAGTTTGATAAAGATAAAATTAAAAAAATCGAACATGCTTATTTATTAATTTATCAAATTCGATGTTTATAGTTGCTTTAGACAGTACCTATCAAAAACCACTTAACTTACCGCCAAATATATGTTTTTATAAGTAAATATTAAATTTATTTAGATGAGACATAAAATTAATGACAGTTACTACAATTTCGCACATAGTTTTAATGTAGGTATATTAAGAACATAATATTGAATATTTTTTCTACACTTTCTTCACTTGATGTGCCAGTAGACTAATTTTGAAATGCAGAAGATAATACATAATAATATAATATAGATTATACAAAAACAAATTACAATAACTTACCAACTTTCGTGCCATGTTGTTATTGTCGTAAATAGCAACTGATTTGTTTTATTATTGTAACCGTCTAGAAACATGTAATTGTTGACTATTTATCTAAGCGAATAACAATGAATGTTTTGCCGCCATTTTCGGTCCGCGTTGAACACGTTTGTCACTCCGTAGTGTTGATTTGAAAATGATTCAATTGAAGGAACTGAAGGAAGTTTTAATGATGCTTTGCTCCAGAATAGTGTATTACGTTAATTTTTAATAGATTTGGATCTTCTATAAACTTAAAACTAAAAACGTTTTGAAACTAAAATTACAACATAGTCTTTTTATTCTTCGCACATATTAGTACAAAAGAACACTATATTTTTTAATTTACAGATGACGGTTGTATAGTTTTTATGTTTGATACCGACCGGTTACTGGGGGCGTTTGCGAAGATGCGATAGTACCTACATTTAGTATTAGCACATGAGTAAAGAAATCTTTATTCGTGCGGTATTAGCACCTACTGCTAAAGGCAAAATATTTCTTTGAGTACCGCGACTTAAACCAATGTAAGCTATTAAAATAAAATTGATCATGGCGGTGTAGGAATATCCACTAACCCATATCATCCGGTGGGTGTCGTATAGTAGATGAAATCAAATCAGAAGATGGGCAAAATCTGGAGGATTTTTACGTGGTAGAGCCATGCTGCAGCTATATTAGTAGTATAGTTGTAGCACGAATGGATCGGCTCGACTGGGGAATGACCACGCTCTCACAGAATACCAGCATAAAATAGCAGCTCTGTTTCGTATGGTGAGTAAAGAACCGGAGACCCTTTTTACTGGAAAAGATTGCCCTATCTTAGTCCTCACGGGTGACAACGCATCTGCATTTTGATTCATGGTCGAGGATTGATGTAGATGTCTATGGGCCGCAGCAACCACTTACCATCAATTAACATTGCTTACTTACTAACTTACTAATTTAGTTAAGTATTGTTTAACATTAATAATTAGATAACATTAGTTAATGTTGTTACTAACATATTTTAGCTTATAAATGACTTACTAACCGATATGGATCATGGTCCGAAATAAATGATTATTATTATTATAAAGTGGACTGTGAGCTCTTTTGTCGCCCTTACTCCATGTATATGAAAAATAATTAGAGGCATGAAGCAAAGTTCGGGCAAAGCGGAGAGATAAGGCAAAATAGAGTTAGTTTTTGTTTGATATAGAATAATATATAATTTTTATTGAAAACCATTTTTTACTTTACAAAATCTTTAATCAGCTCTATATCCAGTACAGTGACATTGTATATGACTTGATTTTTTTTTAGTTAAGCAAAACGTAAAAAGTTACTTATGAATTGTGACTGCTACACAAAATGTTTACGTATAAAGTATGCAGTACGTGACATTAATTTTGTTTTAGAAATAGAGAAATGTCTCACGCAGAAATATGTGTTAAATAAAACGAATGCATTTAATCACCACAAAACACGTAGGTATTTTCAAGATCTGTTAAAGGTAATATATTTCTCGTCTCAACCAATCAGCCGAGCCGTGGTAGCTCAAAGACTAAGGAATAAGGAAGCGCTCCCTGTAAATTTTATAGTACGCGAGCATCCTTGGAACAACCTCCACCAGCATCAATAAAATTGTTAATTGTAATTTTCAGTACTGATTTACTACAACACTATAAAGAAGAAGTGAACGAAAACATCGTGACGAAAACATTTTTTTTATATAATAAGAGTGAAAAACTAGTACACAGTTGACCTGATGGTGAGTGGATGCTGTAGCCCATAGACATCTGCATCAATTCTTAATTAAGAATCAAAATGCAGATACATGTTTACCCCTGAGGCCTTAGATGGAATGCGTCGTTTCCAGTAAAGAGGTTCTCTACATCACTATACGAAACATAGCAGCATGGAACTGCTATTTTACGCTGGTATTCTATGATAGCGTTCCCTTATATTTCTACCCATTCGTACTACTACTATAATGTAGATACAGCGTGGCTCTACCACGAAGTTATATTATATTCGTTGTTTTGACGGATGATGAACACCATACACCACACCACTCTTTGAAAATAACATAAACTCTTGATGCCCCTCACACACACCTCTCTCTGCTTCTTTCATCTCCATGTATATTCGGTTTACGCAAACATGTGCTAATTTAGCCCATATTTATTATATCGCCAATTTGTTCGATAAATTTCAGTCCAGAGCGTGTTTTGATAACTCTACCAATTACTTCAATAGCATAAACTTACTTTGTCATACTTACTTCAGTCATTCTTACACGGTGTCCAAATTACCGAAGCATTCCTCTCTCAATCATAGTCACACACAATTTCTTACCCTATCCTTCATATCATCCTGAACATACCTGTTGACCTCATTTCTACAACATTAATTTAATCTCATGCTTTTTCTGCTATTCTCAACTTCCACCATAAAAACTAACACAGTATTGTATACTACAATACGTGCCTTTTGTGACAATAAAAAATAGCCTATTTACAGTTTTTCTATATTTTCCATGAAATGCCCCGTGATTGCTACCTTAATTCTTTTTGATAAACAGTGAGGGAAAAAGGGAGTTTTGATGCGTTTTTACCAACAGTAAATCATCTTACTCCAGTACGCTCAACAGTGGTACACATGTGACGTAGCACATCGCGCGACACCCGCTCGACAATGGTACACATATGCCTACTGAGAATTTATGAGGGCGAACCCGACAAAAAAAGGTTTGTCATTAAAAACTATAACAAAGTTATACCGAAATGTATAATACAGACATAGAAAAAGACATACTCTTTAATTTGGAACCATAATCTGTCGATTTCGAACTAAACATCGAATTTCGAACATAAAAATCATTCTGACGTAATGGCTTCTTACACCAGTAGGGCGTGGATTGTGCGTTAACTATTGCTGAGTGATTTCTCCGTTTTTCTGTGTGTTTTTGAAATAAAAAGGTGAGTTTTATCCTTTTGTGTATTCCTTGTAATATAACAAACACGTAGATATATAATTTGTGGCATAAAAAGTGAAAAGTAAGTGCCAAAAGTACTTCGAAATCGAGAAGGCCCATTTTAGCGGTTGGGTCGAAAATGTGTTATTTTTCCAATTCTCATTTATTTTTAGAGTTCTCATTTATTTTAGTATGTAACTACAAATAGTTTTATAACATATTTAAAATAACTTGACGTTGTATTTATTTCAAATTCACACAAAAATATATTTGAAATATTGTTCGAAATTTCCTACAGATAAAAATTTATTTCGTTTTTTTTTTATTTTTTTTAATATTTTGGTATGAGTAACGAATAGAAACACATAAAACATAAAAATATACATATTTACAAACAATTTCATATAGATTTCTCCAAAAATAAACGTGTAGAATTCAAATTAGTAGTACTATGCTATAAAGGGTAATTTATGAATTTTAATACAATTTCTAGCAACTAAAATAGTTTATACATTCAACAAGAATTCCTGTAAGTTTTAAATATTGTCTCAAAGTGAAAATATAGCAAAATTTGCAAGTTAGCAGAAAGTTTGCAATTCCCGCCATTTTAGGTCGCGAGCCAACAGGAGTATCGATTAACGTCGCCTTCCGAACATACAGTTATCACATCTTTACAATCTTAATTTATAAAAACCAATGTTTTCAATTAAACACCTTGATAGCGGGCTAACTTTCGTCGACTCAATAATAAGTTGAAGATCTTTAAAGGGTGCTTTTGAAAATAAGGATAAAGGTAGTCAAAATCAATGGTGTGAAAGAGAAATTTAATAATAGATCTCATTATAGTCACTCCGAAATGAATGGTCAGCAGACTGCTCCGCAGCACAAATTATGATGTAAAATTGTATGATCTCACTTGTGTTAACCTGTATATTAATCGTGTTTTGTAATTGCTATAGCATTTTATTGTATGGAAATTTGCCATGGGAAAACGCGACTGATATAAAAAAATCAGTTTTGTTTTTCAGTAGAGTGCCATAAAAAATTGGTTGACTCTGCAGGCCATCCCTGGAACTTTCCGCTAATTTCAAATGCTAAGCGTTCCGAATGTAATCAAATATGTCGCGAAATCAAGAAGTTATGTAAAAAAAAAAAACGTTTTATTTTTTCGAATTATTTCTCCTTCGATATCTATATATCCTACGAATAAATGAACCGATTTTTATTTTTCAAACTAAAATTAATAAATAAAACCCACCGCTACTTTTGTGTGTCCTTGCGGTTAGCATTCTGACCATTCCACATATCATGAAACCGTTACGACATTCCCAACTTTAATTTTATAAGTTTAGTTATACCTACGACTAGTCTTCATATGGAATTTAAAAGTTATAGTTGTCATTTTTAATACAATTAGACAATCAATTGTACCCTGACGCAACAAGCATTTCGCTACAACAAAAATGATATTGGCATTAATAAACGTACCTAATTGGGTACTCACTTACACAATTACAAACAAAATTTCATCGTTATCTTCGATTTTGTACAAGGAAATAGAAATGAAATGGTACTGAATAATTTAATAGTGAAAATCTATTGCAATTATGATCGATAGTTAACTTATCTATCACAATCAATCTAAAAAATAATTCTTTTACCTTATTTTAATTGACCTTTTTTTAATCCGTCCAATACTTTGAATTATAAAAGAGGTAAGTCAAAACTATTAAAATTAATTCCAAGTTTTAATGTGATTGCTGCCTCTAATTCTTATTTCGCCTGCAAATTTTAGTAAGTAAATTCGGTTTGGCAACATCGCAACATGTGTGTGAAAGGAAAGGGTAGAGTGAGCGTAAATACAGTAATACCAAATGTATTGTTTCGTACCGAGCTTGATAAAAAAAGTTCAGCGTCCGCGCATTTTTTGACCTTAATCAGCTGAATTCAGGTATTATAGGTATTTAAGTTTCACTGCTTGTTTTATGTTTAGGCATTTTCATGATTTTTTTATGAAATTATTGTTTCATTTAGCTAT